CTTCCACCGGTGACGGCCTGGCAAAGATGAAGGGCTCTGATCGCATCTATGTCGTCCCGTTCGCCGTTCCGGGAGATATGGTCACGGTCAAGGCCTACCGCCACGATGAAACCCACACCGTCGCCGACTTCATTTCTGTGGTCGACCCCTCTCCCCTCCGCGACGACAGCCGCATCCAGTGCGAGTACTTCTCCAAGTGCTCCGGCTGCCAGTTCCAAATGCTCGACTACGCCGAACAGCTCCGGATCAAGAGGGAGACTGTCGTCAAGGCCTACAAGAACTTCTCCCAGCTCACCCCCGAGCTCGTCCCCGAGATTTTGGACACCATCGGCTCCCCTCTGCAGTACAACTACCGCACCAAGCTCACCCCTCACTTCGACGGGCCCTGGAACAACCCCCGCCGCGGCCCGAAGAAGCATCTCGAGTCTTGCCCACCGATAGGCTTCACCCCCAAGTCAGCCCGCAAGGTAATGGACATTGAAGACTGCCCCATCGCCACCCCCGCCGTGAGGAAGGGTCTCACGGCCGAGCGTGAGCGGATGAAGACCGAGTTCTCGAAATACTCCAACGGCGCCACGATTCTCCTGCGGGAAAACACGATCCGAGTTCCCGCCGGGGGTGAAGCGCCCTCAGACATTCCCTCCGATGCGGTCGTTGTCCGGACGCCGGGGTACACCGACTACAAGACTCACATCACGGACAACAACGCCACGAGCACCGAGCACGTTGACGACTTCATCTTCACCAACCCGGCCGGTTCGTTTTTTCAGAACAACAATTCCATCTTGTCGCCCTTTACGCAGTACATTAGGGATCACATTTTGCCTCCTGCCAATAAGGAGGGGATAAAGTACCTCATTGACGCCTACTCGGGCTCGGGGCTTTTCACCATCACGCAATCAGCTTTGTTTCCGGGGGGGAGCATCGGGATTGACATTGCCGAGGGCTCGATCGCTTATGCTAGGAAGAATGCAAAGCTGAACAATCTGGACGAGGGGCAGTGCAAATTCATTGCTGCCGACGCGCCGGAGCTGTTCAAGAGTGTGGAGGGGTATAACCCGGACGAGACGGTTGTGGTGCTGGATCCGCCGAGGAAGGGGTGTGACGCTAGCTTTTTGAGCCAGCTGCTGAGGTTTGGGCCGAGGAGGGTTGTTTATGTGAGCTGTAATGTGCACACGCAGGCGAGGGATGTGGGGGTTTTAGTTAGGGGGGAGGTGGAGGGGGTTGTTGATGATACGGAGGAGACGGACGGGACAGAGAGGAAAAAGACGAGGTATGAGATTGAGAGCTTGAGGGGGTTTGACTTTTTTCCGCAGACGGCTCACGTTGAGGGGGTGGCGGTGTTGAACAGGGTTGAGGAGAGGTAGATGGATGTAGGGGTGGGATTGTGGGGTTATAAATAAAAGCTTTGTTGTTTTTTTGTTATTCTTCACGAGAGATGTGTGGTCTTGAGTTGTGTATTCCACACTGAGGTTTCGTTCAGTTGAACTACTTGCGCAGAGTCTCAGGCATCAAAGTGGATTGACTGCAATATTTCATTTCTAGCACGCCATGCATGGTATCCACGTCTGTAGCTATACACCGGGGTATCGTCCTTTCATAATCATAATCCTATCCCTTACAAGAGCCCTGACAAACCCAACAATTCAACTCCTTTCCCACACACATACACACACACACACAGTCCCTTTTACCCAAGCACAACTCCTTCATACTCCCCCTCACTCAAATACCTCCCAAGCACCCCCTGCAGCACCGCCTTCGACTTCTGTATAGCCGGCACGACCCCCTCAATCTGCCCCAAATTCCCCCTCAAACTCTCCATATGACTCCCAATCTGCCTCGCCAACCCCATCACCTCCTCCTCCCCCTCCTCAATCCCCTCGAAGACTCTCCCCTTCACCTCCACCCTTTCCCTCTTCACAACCTCCAACCCCTTCTCCCCACCCGCCTCACCCCGACCGGCAGCCCGTTCCCTCCGCCCAGGAGCAAGCACATGATCCCTCTTCCCCCTCTCCCTCCACACCCTAGCTTGCGCCCTCGCATTCTCCTCCAACCGCCTCAGATCCCTATAATCCCTCTCCAACCCCGCCTCCTCCCTCTCCTTCTCCCGTCTCAAAACCTCAACGCTATGCACCAACGGCTCCAGCTGCCTCTCCAAATGCCTGCTCGCATCAATCACCTTTTCAAAATTAACCTCTGCCTCCTGCGCAGAAATCGCCACCCCCTTTGTCGTCTTCGTCCCGATCGTGGCCGGAGGAAAAGGGATCCCTTTTACCAGTTTAGAATGCAGTCTACCGGCAAAAGTCCGGAGGATCGTTTGCGAGGCGGTGTACCTCGCCGTGTTGTTACCTCCGATCGACTCAAGGATGGGGATGTACGAGTCGAGGATGAGGCTGTCGATTGTTGAGATGGCGGGTTGGTCTAGGGGTGTCCATTTCGAGCGGATGGTGGAGCGGGGGATGTGGAGGGTTTTGGGGGCGAGGTGCCGGTATGGGGCTGAGGATAGGGGGTCGGTGGGTTCTTGTTCTTGTTCTTGTTCTTGTTCTTCTTCTTCTTCTTCTTCTTCTTCTTGTTCGGTCTCGGGTTGGGGTTGAGGTTGAGGACGGTCCTTCTTTTTGGAGGGCTTATGGTTGGTGGTTTGGTTTTGAGCTTCAGAGACGGAAATTTCAACTAGGGTCGCTCTAGGTCCTTTCTTGGATCGCTTCTGCGGCTCCGAGGGCTGAGGGGATGGCTCAGCAGCGGTTTCGGCGCTTTTTCTGCCTCTGCCTCGTTGGCGAGCAGAGGGCTGGCTTTCTTCTTGGGCGTCTTCTTCCTCTTGTCCAACCACGCGACCGGGTCTGCCCCTGGATTTCGAAGCGTTCTTGGCGCTTTTACCCTTTTGTTGAGACTCAGGCTCTGCGGCAGCCTCTTCGCGAGACTCGTCCTCGTTGGAGCCTCGACCTTTCCTGCGTCGTCTGCCGTCGGTCTCTGCTGGCTCTGCATCTCTCATTTCTGTATCTTCCTGAGATGCGGGAGCTTGGTTCTTGCCAGGCCGGCCCCTTGCTTTTGGCTCTTCTTGCTGTTCCTGCTCCTCAGCATTTCCAGCTGCTTTGGCTCTCTTTCGTGGCCTGGTCTCAGTAGGCTCTGGCTCCTCTGGTTCGACATCATGACTCTTTGCTAGACGTCCTCTCTTTCGCCCGGTATTTGGCGCCTCTTCGGGTGCCGCCGCTGCTGCTTGTTCGGGTTCCTTTTCGGATTCCGGGGCTTTTGCTTTGCGCCCTCTTTTCTTGGGCGCTTTCTCTGCCGGCTCTTCTACCTCCTCAACCGTTGCTTCTTCCTCATGTTCAGCCTCCTGTGCCCGTGCCGGCCGTCCTCGTCTCTTGGGTGCTATTTCTGTTGATTCTTCCGCCTCCTCGGTGGTTGGATCTGCTTCTAGTTCAGATCGAGCAGGCCGCCCTCTTCTCTTGCGTGCCGGGTCTGATGTTTCCTCGGCCTCCGCAACACTTGTCTCTCCTGCTGGTTGCTTGATCTCTTGAGTTCGTGCTGGATGCCCTCTTCTCTTGGGCTCTGTTGCTGTTGACGCTTCAGCCTCTTCAGCGAGGGATTCCTGACCTGGTTTGGCCTCTTTTGTCCGACCGGGGCGCCCTCGTCTCTTTGGTGCTGTGGCTGCTGATTCATCGACCTCCGTGCTCGCCTCCTCTACCACTTCCTCAGCCCGTCCTGATCGAGCTTTCCGCCCCCGTTTCTTCGGCTCCGTACTCGAGATTTCTTCGGTCTGGGTCGCAGCTTCCTCGGTTTCCGGCTCAACTTCTTGGGCTCTCGCTGGCCGACCTCTCCTCTTTGGTGCTGCTTCCAAAGTATCTGTCGGCGGAGTCGATTGTTCTTCGGCTATCGAGCCTTCACCCACCCCCGCCGTTTCAGCATTTTTCATTGGTCTACCCTTTCGTTTTGGTGCCCCCTCTGGCGCTGGCGATGGCTCTGGCGCAGGCTCTTCGGGTGATGAATCATCGCTCTTTCGCGGTCTGCCTCGTCTCTTTGTTGTCGTTCGAACCTCGGCGTTGTCATTACGATTTGCCTGCAAAACAGCTTCTCCTCCACGTAGGGACTCGTCCTCGTCGGGCTTCGACGAGCCTGCTGGGCGACCGCGCTTGCGCTTTTGATTTGGATCGTCCGGCGCCTATTCTGGGAATCAGCAATTGACTTTGACACTGAAAGAAACAATACACACCATAATGATAGAAAATACCCAAGCGCCGGCTCAATGTCTGTTTGCTGGTGTTTGCAAACGGATTTGAGGTGCTACGTTGATTCTTCAAGCCCCTCGAAGCGCAACAGCCACAGCTTGTGACGCGACTGTACCAAATCTCGACCCCACCGCGCAGCCCCCCTGTCCGTGCCATGTGTGGCTGGAATTCTATTGCCCCATGCACTTTGTTGCCCGGCGGACAGCTGTTTACCCCAAGCTGGCGGACCGTCGCGAGACAAGCTCTCCTATCTTTAACCGAAACAGGCTTAACTGGTCATGACACCTTTTTACCAACAACTCTGTTCAGGGTCACAGTGAAGATATCCCAACATTCGTAATATTAAACAAGCGAGGCTAGACTAGACAGGGCACGCGTCCATCAGGGGACCAGACCGGAACAAGGGTAGTTTCACCACATCTCCATCTTTTCGCGATCCCCATTTGCGACGAGCTCTTCTTGTTTTCCGTCGAGAAGAAGGTGTGACTTTTACCAGGCCGCTGCTTGTTTTCTCCATCTTCTCCTCTCTGCACGTCAGACCACCCCTCATTCCTGGCTCCTCCTCATCCTCCTCCTCCTCCACACCTCACCTTTCCCTCCCATCATCTTTCTCAGACTTTTTGCGCCATCTTCTCTCGTGGACAGCTGTCAAGAAAGGGCCACACTTCTGCTTCCATCATTTCTAACGACACTGTTGCAGTCATCGTTTTTGATTCACCGAGACGAGTAATTGGTAATCCACCCACACACACACACAAATACACATCACAAACAATGCGCTTCTCAACAGCAACCGCGGCCCTCGCGGCCCTCGGCCCCCTCTCCGCCGCCGCCGCCGAGTCCCCCTTTGAGCAATACAAAGCCAAATTCCAAAACTTCCTCTCCAGCTTCTCCGGCAGCGCGGGCATCCCCGAAGCGGCCGACAACGTCCAAGTACCCATCCCCAAGCCCAAGAGCAAGACGGTAGAACCCAAGAAGATCGACACCTTGACTCTGGCCAACTGGAAGGACACGCTTTACGCCCCCGTCCACGCCGAGGCTACCACCCCCGAGGAGTTGCTGGTGCTCATCACGGGCGGGAACAATACTTGCTTCTCGGATAATGCCGCCCCTTTTCCACTCTCTCGTCCCTCAAACTCACAATCAACTGACCCCTATGAAATTTCCAGGCCGCTGCGACAAACTCGACACGGCCTTTTCCCAATCGGCACTCAAACTCGCCTCTACTCAAACCAACCCCCGATAATTCTCCACTTTGCCAGTGTGAAACTGCGCACGACGAGTCGCGTGATTCGCGTCATGGCATACTTCGTGTGGCTCTGGCACTGCTCACGGGCGTGATGCTGGCGTGTTTGAGATTCTCGCCTGCGCCATACCGAGACGGGGTTGTACGTTAAGCGCTT